AGGTTTCCCATTGCCAAACCCCAGGAATGTTTCCCATTCCCAATCCCTGGGAAGGTTTCCCATTGCCAAACCCCAGGAATGTTTCCCATTCCCAAACCCCAGGAAGGTTTCCCATTCCCATACCCCAGGAAGGTTTCCCATTCCCATTCCCACTCCCATTCCCATTCCCCATTCCCATTCCCCATTCCCATTCCCATTCCCAAACCCCAGGAAGGTTTCCCATTCCCAGACTCCAGGAAGGTTTCCCATTCCTATTCCCATTCCCCATTCCTATTCCCCATTCCTATTCCCATTCCCATTCCCAAATCCCAGGAAGGTTTCCCATTCCCATTCCCATTCCCATTCCCATTCCCATTCCCATTCCCATTCCCACTCCCATTCCCATTCCCATTCCCAAACCCCAGGAAGGTTTCCCATTCCCATTCCCATTCCCACTCCCATTCCCGTCCCCCATTCCCATTCCCATTCCCATTCCCATTCTCCAGGAAGGTTTCCCATTCCCATTCCCACTCCCACTCCCATTCCCGTCCCCCATTTCTCCCTTCCCCTCCCTGAGCCCCTCCTCGTTCTCAGGACCTGATCCTGAAGCGCGCGGCCGACATTGCCGAGGCTCTGTACAGCGTTCCCCGGAACCCCGCGCAGATCCCGGCGCTCTCCAGCTCCCCTGCCCACAGCTCCATGATGGGCATCAACTCCTACGGCAGCCAGCTGGGCGTCAGCATCTCCGAGTCGGCTCAGGGCAACAACCAGGGTGAGCTCAGCGGGTCCACAAAGCCAGAAAGCCTCACGGTCCTGTCAGTCAAAGCACGGGAGTTGAATTGAGAAAAATTCAAAAATAGGAAATGTGGCTGGGGTGGGGAATGTGAGCTGTTACCTTCGTGTTGTTCTAGCAGAGGTAGGGAGGGTTAAACAGGGAATGGGGGTGCTGGAAGTAAGAATATAGATGTAAAATTTAAAGCAGAGATGTGTTAAGTGGAAAAAAAATGTAGTTATAAAGTTCAGGATATAGAAAGAATGAAGTCGTTGCAAAGGGGACACAATGGGTTTGTGTGTCCGGACAGGATTGAGAAAAGTCACGCTGTAATTAGACAAAATTTCTTAGTATTGGATTAGAAATATAAATATCCTTGTTGGCAGAGTTTTATTGGTGAATAAGCCCTTAAAAGATCTGGTAGCCATAAGTGTTGTGACTTCTGGTCTTGATTTCAATACCTGTAGCAAGAACTCAGATTTTCTGTAGAAGATAAGAAAAATTAACCACACTTTCTGGGCAGCCACAAGTCCCATCTCTCTGCCTCACTGGGAGTAAGGAAGAATCCCCATGGAATGTGATAATGTGGGAGCAAAAAGCCCCCAGTGAGCCCCAAACATTCCCTGGGCTCTGAAAGCCCCAACCCAGTCACATTCCCAATAATTTTTACCCAGTCACATTCCCAATAATTTTTACCCAGTCACATTCCCAATCCTTTTTACCCAGTCACATTCCCAATAATTTTTACCCAGTCACATTCCCAATAATTTTTACCCAGTCACATTCCCAATAATTTTTACCCAGTCACATTCTCAATAATTTTTTCCCTGGAAAAGTTTTTCTAATCTCTTCATGTGCCCAGTGATGGCTTTAACTCCCATCCCAAAGGGTAGTGCTGTCCCATGTCCTAATTGAAATAATTTTTGATATTTTTTGATATCAACTCACCCCTGAATTCCTTCCCTGTCCACCTCAAAATATCAATTTTTTAAAAATTTTATCTCTGTTTTCACAAACAATGGCAGCAGCGGGAAAAAGCCTCACACAGAGATGGAAAATTTTCCCTTTTTTTGTTTTGAAGGCATTTTCTTCATTGTTAATTTTATCAATATTCATATATTGTATGTATTACATTTAATCCAGATACACTATTGATTGTGAGGGAAACAACCCATAAACCACTGTATGAACATTGGAAGAATTATCAACTTTTTTGCCTCCTGAATATTTTGATATTTTTTAGCAAACACAGTCTGGGGTTGATCTCAATAATTGGCTGTGTGTAACACTCTAAGGCAGCAAACCCCAATCCTTTAAAATTAATTTTCTATCTGCCCAATTAAAATCCATCATAAAGATAATTTTGCTCATTTTTTCAAGGTGTTACCAGCCCTGAATTAGAACCTCATAATGCAAATGAGCAGAAATTACCTGACTTGATATACTTAAATATTATTTCTAAATAGTGACTACTCTTAATGTAATTATTGTATCAGTTTCTCCAATGAAAGTTTTTCCATGGAAAAACCCTTTGCTGCTGGAATAATGATTTTGTCCTTTTATGCTGGTAGCTACAGTTTTCAACTCTCTTTTTGAGTAAAAAAAGGATAAATTCTGGCTCTCAAATATTTGTTAGTATTTTTTTAATACAACAAAAATAAGTTTTACATATCCACTTTATTTCTTTCTCCCAAGTAGAGGAAATTAAAAGTTAAATTGCAAACTTTATATGGGTTATAATTTCCCTTTAGTAATGTACTTGCTTTATCTCTAATTCAACGACTCAACAATAATTTGAAGAGTAAAACCTCCCCCATTCAATGGTAGAATATATTATAAATATATTCCCATATATTATAAATACTATCCCAGGTAAATATAAAATAAATATAAATATATCCAGGTTATTGGAGTGAATTTAAAGTTTTAACAAATCAAATTTTATCGGA